TGCACGGCAGGTTCTATGCAAGACCGGAGGAAGACAATGCCGAGTGGTTCACGGCTGATTGCTGGATGTCATGAGAGATCCAAGGCGTTTGATTCACGGCTTATTGGTGCACAAATTTGGTGGTGCACAGCTGCGCTCCCCTCGTATTTCACTTTTTCGCTCCGCATTCCGCAGAAATTAATCGAAAAAGTGTGTCAATTAAGCTGAAAATATGAGTTGCATAAAAAATTTGTTTGGATGAATACTCAATTTGCAATAATATTTTGATCTTCAAATATCGCCTTAAAGAGATCGTCAAAGATCTTATTGTGGTTATACAAAACTCTGGGTATTTATTACCGCATGAAGCAGCTAGATGGTTTTGACGTAAGACTATTGAACGGATGTGGAATCAGACTCTAATTTATTTCCGTCGAATGATCAAATAAATATAGGAGAATTTTTCTCACGTCTATCATTAACTCGAGGAATTAATTCAAAATTGACTTGACTCGCATGCGCCTCAAGATAACCGCTACTAGTTCAATTAATTAATCACTTTGAAGAAGAAGCAAGTCTGGACATTTCAGGCTATTGCTATGCATCCTCACATCAAAGGAATTTCCTCCTTCTTTAAGCGATTTCTGTTTCTGTGCGCCTCCCGAATTCTCCATGGTAGTAGTTTAATACCCTTTCGTCTCTGATTCATTTACCGTCGTCAATGCTATTCGTACCTAGTGGTTAGGCAACGTGAAGCCCCGTCAATAACGAAAGGTTAAGTCAGAGTTTGGGGAGTGAGGGTAACTCAGAGTTTGGGGAGTGAGGGTAAGTCAGATTTTGGGGAGTGAGGTTAAGTCAGAGTTTGGGGAGTGAGGGTAACTCAGAGTTTGGGGAGTGAGGGTAAGTCAGAACTCAGAGTTTGGGCAGCGGGGGTAAGTCAGAGTTTGGGGAGTGAAGGTAAGTCAGATTTTGGGGAGTGAGGGTAACTCAAAGTTTGGGAAGTGAGAGTAAGTCAGAGTTTGGGGAGTGCAGATAACTCAGAGTTTGGGGAGTGAAGGTAAGTTAGATTTTGGGGAGTGAGGGTAACTCAGAGTTTGGAGATTGAGGGTAACTCAGAGTTTGGGGAGCGAGGGTAAGTGCAGTGTTTACAGGTAATGGTGTTAGTCTGAGTTTGAGGAGTGATGATATGGGTCGTGTTTACGGGTAATGGCGTCGTGATCCATGGCTCCGGCGCACCCGGTGTGAGGGATTACCTTCGTGCTCCGAGCTACAGTCTCTGCTATATAACAGAGCTCCATAGCCCCGGCCGAAAACATCCGGTTATTTGAGTTGAACATTTGAAGCGAGTTGCTAGGCGGATTAATTAAATCTTATGCGATTATTTGTTTATTTTTGTAGTTATTTTATTGATTCCCCGTGAAAATTAGAAATATAGGAATGAAATGAGAGGAGGTTGTATATTGTAAGGGATGACCATTTGTTTAATTTATAATTTATTGTACATTTTCACTATTATTAATGATCCAGCTGTTCCCCACCACAAAAGCATGTAATCGTCTTCCAAAATCCACTACAATCTTGAGGGAACTAAGGAATTTAATATTGAGCAACTCAATAGAAAATAATTCATCAATACAAACAGTGATAATATATACACAAGTTATATAAGACATTATTAATTATTAATTATTATTATGTTTAAGGGCCAGGGAAATTGTGGCGTTTAATTATGTTTAAGGCCAGGAACAATTGAGACCAGGTTAATGTTAATCCAGATTTGAGATTTAACACTTGGTAACCGAGAATGGAAGTCTGCTTTCTTAGGCCGTATGAAAATGAAAAAATAACGCTTTGAAATGCCTAACTGAGAGAATGAACACACAAATAAAGATACAACGGATTTTAAACGAAAATAATAAATGTTATGCGACTCAGTACAACAAAATTGAATTTCGTTAAAATGTTACAGAGCTCTCTAAAATATATTTTTTTTTTCATGGAGGTCTTTCGACACGAAGCTTCTTTAAATTATATATTATTGATATAAATTGAATCTATTTCCTCTACAGGGTAAATGAGCTTTTCACAACTATGTATCACAATATAATATTCCATAACTTCGATGGGAAATAAATCTTGGCATGCGAATTTTTATTCGTTCTCTAGTTGTTTGTAACGCTTGATGGTCTCCAGATAATTGAACCTGATTTTAATTTAAAAGTATACGCTTCTTCAAATTGACTTGTCAGTAAAAAGAGAAAATAACGGTTTCTATAGAATGTTAGTGATTGAGAGATCTCTGTGCAGTAAAATATTGTTGTATATGAAAGCGTTTATTGAATAGAAGATATAAATATGTCCATTATATGTAGGTATTTCATTACCTACACTCAATGGGTTTAGTCCCATTTCCTTGCTTCCTTATCTAGTTTCTAATTATCTGCTGTACTGGTTATTTTTTCGGTATTTTTTTTTCTTGAGTAAGATCACCTTCCATCATAAATTTTTATCCCTCCATTGCACACGCGAGCTGCAGAAATTAATTGAATATTTTTGCGTATATCATTTGTTTGTGTTAACTGATATTCCTGCCGTTCGTGGAGTCTTTCGCATTGTGAATAGTTTGCTCAGTATTTTGTTATCTAATGAGGGAAATTCATTGTGAGCAATGTTAAATCTATGATAGAAAGTAAAAAATTTTACTCATGTTTCATAGAATGCACCGACATGCAAACACGATATTACATTTCACGATATATTACTAACAAATTCTTGAAAAGTCTAGAAAGTTTTTAGTTCAAAATAAAAATTTACAGCATTCAATTCAGTTCATTTCCTGTCACGTGAACTTGTATGGATAAAACCCAGAAAATAATAAGCTGTACTGACGAAGTTTAGCCTTTAATGTATTTGTATTTTTTTGCATATATTTTGTGGCTCAACCATTAGGTGTAAATGATGGCATCGGCTTCATTACTCTTATTTATCTTGTGTGGCATATATCTTGTTGTGTTGCACATTTCTTGTTGTTTTGCTTTTTTTGTTGTGTTGCATATTTCTTGTTGTGTTGGAAATTTATTGTTGTGTTGCACATTTATTGTTGTGTTGCATATTTCTTGTTGTGTTGCATATTTCTTGTTGTGTTGCATATTGTTTGTTGTGTTGCATATTTCTTGTTGTTTTGCATATTTCTTGTTATGTTGCATAATTCTTGTTGTGTTGTTGCTGTAAATAATTGCACAATCAATAATCTTTACTTGATTTCAGGCATTTTATAGAAGATAAATCGGAGTAAATCTTATGGGTGAATCAAATTTTGAAGGCTCTAATTTTATAATTATTTTGTATGTATGTCATTTTTTAAATAAGTTATTTATTTTCGTATATTCATTGCCGCCGTGAAATTAAATATAATAATGAAAATCTGTTTTCAGAGGAGGCGGCAAGTCTATAGTCTTATTGGTCATGAAGATTCGTGGCCGGAATTAACAATGAATATACAGATCGTTATATAAACATTTTTTTAAATTATACAGTAAAACAATTGAGTTAGTAATGTGATGCGTGTATATAGGTCATACGTTCCCAAGGCTACTTTCGAAATAATTAAAGAAAGTTTCAATTCTCCTCAAACAAGGCTGCAAAATATTCACATTAACACGTTCAGTATTACTTCGCATTGTGCATTTGTAGGTTCGTTCCGCAAGATCATTACCGGGCTCGGAATCCTGCACCGTTCCAGGGGCAAATGACGCCAAATGAAAACAAAGACCAGACTAATTTCCAAGCATTTGCATATCCACTCGCTTGTTTGCTAGGGATGTGCTTTTCTATCTCTCTGACGACCTCCAATTTTATCCTTCCCTAAAAAACTTTCTAGTTCATTAGGGAAACTAGTGATCCAAGCGCCGGATTGTAATTTGAAAATAGAATTTTACTCGTGAATCTTTTAAACGAAGGCGGATGGCCGTTTAACTTCTTATCTCAGACGGGGAAAATTTCACTCAAATTCTCTCCTGGAAAATAGCGGTTTAAGTGCTCGTTCACTAAATTAGAAATGGTTAACATTTCAAAATGGCCATAGCAGAGATTTGTTCTTTTTGGAAACAAAAGAATATATGAGCAAGAGCAATTCCCTCAACTGTTTCTTCATTCGGATTTTATTCGGTTTCCCCTCGTGAGAATTGATGCACGCAGCCTAAAAGCCTGAACGCGACTCGCTTTGGCACTATAAATTAGCAAGGAAAATACTAAACTCGCAACGAGGTCTGTTCCCTCGCGAGTTACTACTGTTTGCCACCGTAAAAGCTGTTTATTGTGCGTCATATTTCGATGTCAAAACACTCTTTCGTGATTATTAAATAACGTCATTTACTCAGCAGTCTACGTGAATGATACGGGAGATATTTTTTTCGCTAACGTAGAGATTTTCTGTTTCATGATCATAGACAATGCTATATTTTTTTAGATTCGGTGTTTAATGAGCGGTTGCATATTGCGCAGAAGTCGTTCAAACTGCCGAGGCCTGTTGCAAAAAGCCTGTTGGCTAGTCGTCGAAGTCAGCAGACTATGTGCATGCAGAGCCATTCATTTTATCGTGTATTCAGAGGATTTAAAACAGGCTGGCCCGCGCAGAGAAGGTAGCTTTATCGCGCTCTTGGTCATACAAGCAGGCTTCTCTTACCGGCTTAGCTTTATATCAAACGCGGCCACCGAATTGCTTTCTAACGCGACGGCTTAAAGCTGAGCTCCAAAGATTACGTCATCTGTGCGTAATTCAGATGCATAATAAATCTAATGAAATAGGTGCCAAGTTTTTGACTTGCGTGTGTCACTTTTGTGATAGGAGACCAGGCCGAGCAACTCCTGCCTAGCCTCCACGGGGTATTTGACGTTTACCTGTCTATTTATAAGCACCTTTAGAGTTTTATTTTCATAGAAAGCCATGGGCGGAGCGTGCTTAAGAACTGTCATGCCGGGGCCGGCATAACACAAGGGTAGAGGGGACTTTTCTTCATGTAATTTTGGGCGGAGATATCTTTAGTGAGGCTGCAAGACGTCTCACCTTCACTACCGCTTACATCCGTTGACCTGCGCATGCATTTGGTGTAGCGCTGCGGTAGTGAATAACTCTCGACCATCATGAGTTTTTGGCAGGAAAATTACGGTTTTGTGAAGGAGGTGTATGATTTTCGGTGCTCCAAGTACCTGGAATGGATGGACAATATCGAGGCGATCATTGGCAAAGTGATGGCGAATACGCAGTACACTGCCAAGGAGTTCAAGATCATCAAGGACACCTTCACTGTGGGTATTGGCTTGATATCAAAGACCTGTAGCGAGTGTGTAGCTAGAAAACTAGAAAAGAAAGACTACTAGAAACTTTAATTAAAATCTAGTTTGACTAGAAAACTAGTAGAAACGCATGGGGGAACTAATGTGATTTCGATCGCTGTGAAAATCAAATAATCTTACGATTTAGGTTTAATTTAATGCTGGACAAATTAATGAGGTTATCGTCTATTTAATAAAAAAAAATATTATTTAGTATTTTTGGAAATAATTAAAGATGTACTACGCTTATAGAGACAATTTTATGAATCACTCGTGTAATTTCTTATTTTTACATTTGATGCTTTTTTGAAGCTTAAATAAAAGATTTAATAAAATCTACGCATTTGAAACTCAACATTGTGTTAACTTAGAGTTATGTCATAAAATGTGTAACACACAAATCAAAATTAGAGCATTTAATAGCAAAGAAAAGTTTTTTTTTTCAAGAAGCGGAATCCCGATAATTTGTAACCCGTATAAATTTGTTGTTTTTTTTTGGCTCTGAACGCTTTTTTAGCTTACCAGAACAAATGAAAATTTTCTGCAAAAATAGAGCAATTTGCACCTAATTATAAATTTGTCGTGCATAAATTTCCTGGTTTGTTTCAGAAATTGTTTAAATCAGGATGAAGTTACGACTGTTTTGTTGATGATTTTCGAAATGTAACTAAAAAACTGCAATTACTTTTCCCGATATTCTTTCTCTGATGGCCCACTTAGTGCTCACATTTTTGCTGTTATTACACTGTTAATTCACTAGGTGCTCCAATTTCTTCTGTCATTGCATTGTTGACCAACTAGGTGCTGCAATTCTTGCTGTTATTACACTGTTGACCCACTAAGTGCCCCAATTCATGTTGTTATTATACTGTATACCTGCTAGGTGCTGCAATTCTGCTGTTATTACACTGTAGACCCAATAGGTGCCCCAATTTATGCTGTTATTACACTGTAGACCCATTAGGTGTCCCATTCTTGCTGTTATTACACTTAAGACCCACTAGGTGCTCCAATTCTTGCTGTTATTACACTTTAGACCCACTAGATGCCCTAATTCCTGCTGTTATTACACTGTAGACCCATTAGGTGCCCCAATTCTTGCTGTTATCACACTGTAGATCCACTAGGTGCCCCAATTCTTGCTGTTATTACATGTACTGCACTGCACTGTACTGCACTGCACTGTACTGTACTGCACTGCACAGCACTGTACTGCACTGTACTGCACTGCACTGTACTGCACTGCACTACACTGTACTGCACTGTACTGCACTGTACTGCACTTGTACTGCACTGTACTGCACTTGTACTGTAGATTATCAATATTACCCATGGGCGTGTCGTGTACGTTACACTAAAAAACAAGTGGGTCAAACTGTCCGAATGTGACGAGCCTAATGCGCGTAGCACTAATACGTTCTAATTCTTACATATTCAAGATGATTTTCGCATAGGGTGCATCACTATGTGGACAATTTTTCACTTATTTTTCTGCTTGTATCCATTTATTAAATACTGTTGTTAACTCACTGTTAGCTCTGCTCAAAGCAGCCCTAATTATATAGCAAATTGGAAAGATGAATAATTGAGTTTTAATGAGTCGCCAGAACAGTTCAAAGCATACATTTACATCATTGTAATACGCTGCTCTCATATTGACGGCAGAATTACACTGATGTAAAGCCGGCTATGATTTGGAAGATTGAAGATTATGGAAGATTGCGCAGCATTAATGCTTCAAAATTTGAGATTTATCTAATAATAGTTTATCACTGAAAAATAATTTAAATTTTGTCCGCGACGGTTTTCAAGCTAATCGTGGGAAATGGTCAGGGGTTTATAGTTCAATGGTTGTCGATGAAACACTCAAAATTTTCAAGGACTAAACGAAAAACAAACTTTAAATAAATGAAACATATTTTATAAATCCTATTTACGAAATTGGAAGCTTTCCAAGTACAAGCTCCGAGATTACCGAGTCATGAGCTTGGGAGTTCCAGCGTATATCTGAAGCATCAAGCTCGGTGTTTGTGTTCTCTGTAAATACGAAAGCAGGAATCTGAAGCCTGCGAAACTATGCCAGCCCTGCATAATTTCGAGCTCTGGAATAATTGTTTTCTTTTGCTGTTTATTTTCGCGAACCTCTGGATTATTTCAAAATGTAAACTTCGAAGTTTTCCTTTGAGCAATTCAATAAGTTATCACAATGCAAAAAAGTGCCTCGGATTTTGTTACTGCAAATTTTGCGCTAGAATGTCGACATACAAAGCTAGTGATATTATTAATAATATGACAAGGGGTTACTAATTTAATATTTAAGTAACGTAGTGCAATACAGTGTAATATGGAAGGATTCCTTGAAGTGTTTCGTAAAGGCAACATATGCACGTCATTTAAAATTTGCCGCTATTTAATAATATTCACCAAGTAGCCTGTCAACAAGAATCAAATATTCGCCAGTCAATTTAATGGATTAATCGCGAATTTGGGATGGCTTTAGATGAATTGATAGTTTGTATTTTATTAATAGCATTAGAATCATTAATGTAATAAAACCAGCAATGAATGTTTTCCCATTGTAATTCGCACAACGAATAAAATTAATGGAGACTAAAAGCCACAATAATTGCGCGAAAAGGAAAATTCTCTCCTGAAATTAATCTCGTAAATTGCGTGTGCTCAGCATGGCGGAACGTGAACGAAATTTTAATCAAATTAAGAACTCGTTCCAATGCTGAACAGGCCGCGCTGATCATGGCGCCGCCGTAGCGTTATTACGGGCAAATGCTTGAATTATTTCCCTTAGAAATACATTGCGAGTTAGTGCCCTGGAGCGCGAAGCTAATACGAATGCGCTGCTGTAATCCCAAGAGGAATATGAGTCAGTGAAGTGCGTATCAAGACATGAACAATAGGGCAGGAAATATGCCTTGACTTTTTGGTCTTGATGCCTGATAAATTCAAGCTGAAATATTGAAGGTTCAGTTCAAATTAATTGTGGGAAATGTATTTTAAAAATCAGATTTTAATTTAACAGACAGTTTTTGTCATTTTATTTCCTACTTTCTATTCAGTTACGATTCAGAACGTTTATTCATAGTGTCAAAAATGAACACTGTAACATTAGTTTATTCAATTCTTTATTCATCTTCTCACTTTGCTCGTCGTCATATTGGGAAAACACCACATATTGAAAATACTTTCAAGCATCTCTCGACAGCACTGTATTCAAATCTCAAAACATTCTGGAAGTTATTCATGAATATACTTGGAAGCCAGGGCAGCAGCAACTAATGACAAGCTCTCCTGCACGACTTTTATATAATGGAGACTTGTCATGCATTGTGTAAAATAGAACGTGAACAATCAATTCTTTTCAATGCTCTTCAAAATGTGAGAATAGGATGGTGCGTCTAATTTGCCTGCGTCATAGAGGCTGGATGAAATATATCACTGATAACGCTATTATGTTATTTTCTCAGTAGTATACAATGAAGGTACGAACTACCATATGTTTATTACTGGTACCCATTGATGCCCAGTGGGAGCTAGCCTTCCTCCCCCTGTTGTGAAGAGAACATTGACGAATTTGAATATCCAATAAGAATTTAAATATCCAATAAAATATTTTGAAATTCATTAGTTGATGTTGCAGCAGCTTGAATATACCTGTGGTACCATGAAAGGAATGACATTTTAATGTGAATGTCCTGAAATTTGTCGTGAATATCCTGCACATTTTAAAGTGAATTGCCTGCTATTTCATAAACTTCATGGGAGTTTAGGAAAATAAACACATTTCCTTAGAAAAACTGAATAAGAAATTTTCTATCATTTGCTTGCTTCTCTCTAATGTAGATTTATCTGGTTGAAATATACGCATATTTTGGGAAAATAGGAAGCGAGAGAAACAGTTCTGAAATCTCTGCCATACACTACGAAGTTAAAAGTACCCAGCACGAAGATTTCATTGTTTAGAGCCTTTCACAGACTTAACTCAATCCTCCTCCACGACACAAAAGCAAAAAAAAAAAACAAAAAAAAGCCCCGAAAATTCGGGAAGCCCTGAGAACAACAAGCTAGATTTTTTTCGTTTCATTGCCAAAAAATAAGCCTTGATGAACTTAATGGACTGCATCTGGCGCTGCCGTCATCATTGCATGCTTTTTTGATAACTAATCAGCAGCGATGAATTTGTGTGAATGCCGTAGTGAAGAAAAACATCTCTCATGCAACTATTGATTTTTTATTACATATACCACGCTGTTTAAATTAGTTTTTAAGCTTCTGCATTCCTAAAATTGCAATAAATTCATATTCTCGACGTCATTTAGTTTTACTTGATAATAAGTATTCTACTTGCATGATTATAATAATAAGTATTCTACCTACATAGCACTGATACAGCGACTATGCCATGTGAAAAAAATGAATGAAATAAAATCACAGACGAAGGATGTCTGATCAAGATCAATTAAATTTGTACATGCATTTCATAACTTCTTCAGAAATTTAGTGGGTACACCAATAATAACAATAAAAAACATCAACGTCATAGGCGTCAGAAGTACAATAAGAGTGTTTCGTTTTACTGCTATAAAATTACCATCGAAAACCAAAACAGCAGCTCCAGTATTTTTAGCAAAATCAATAGCAAAAATAGCAGCCTCAGTAGCATCAACATTAGTACATGATTATGAATTTGACTTACAATGATAGTGACATCGTCACCATCAGATCTTGCAGACGCAGCAAAAAGAGTGCAAAACAGATAGCAGCACAAGCACCAGCAGGCGCAGCTGCTGCAGCGGCACTAACAGCAACAGCAGCAACACCAGCACTGACAGCAACAGCAGCAACACCAGCACTGACAGCAGCAGCAGAAAAACAGAAGCAGCAGTAGCAGAAAGAGCAGCAGCAGCACAGACAGCAGCAGCACAAATATTAGCATTAGCAGCCACAGTATCAGAAAA